CTCCAAACCAACCTCCTTTGGGCCACTTGTCTTTTAAGATGCTATGGGTACAGTACCACAGCCCCATATGAGAGCTTTAGCACCCACTGGGGAAGAAGTATGTCACCCTCTAACTGCTCCAAGGTCTCCAAACATCCAGGAGACCACAGGGGTGACTATGTGGATGAGAACTAAGACCGTCCCACCCAGCTAATCCCCACCCTACAATGGGGAGCTCAGCAAACTGTGCACCACCACTTGGACAATCCCTTTCACAGCTGGCTAGTGATGGGACCCAGGCCTGAACCCCTGGCTAGTTTTTGATTCAGCTAATGAAGCATTTTCAGTTTTCTTTAGCTTATTAGTAACACCCCAAAAAATCTTTCCTTCAGCTTCTGTAGTCCGCTTTACAGATAAACAAATAAAATAACTCACTTCACCTTCATACTTTAATATTCTGTCTAAAATAATATCAGATATCTCTTTTTGTTGAAAGAAATACTAATACAGTCATTTGAAACAGAAAATTGTAACATTAAAAAGTACCAGATTAATTAAATAGAATAATTACTGGAGATGAGGTGACAACAGCTTGGTGAAATTATTTTCCTTCTAAATATTCGCACACCACAGAGGTCCATGAATGTGTGATATGCCAGAATCAATGAGTTAGTTGCACCAGAAAAGTAGCTGTCAGCAGGAATGCTTGAACATTATTAAGATTATTCACTGTCACTACAAGCCAGATTTAAACCATACAGTCCCATTTGTATGGAGAAGGCATACCTGAGACCATGCAAATACATTTTAATTCTGAAAATGAGATTCATTCTATTTCTATTTAATATTCACATAAACAAATCAGAGCCCACTTAAATATCACTGCACATTACATTTTACAGTTATTTTCTTCTTGTCATGTTTGATGGGCTATTATTTGGCTTAGATTGAGGTAAATGTAAAGACGATTATACTGTATTTAAGATTTACAGTGCTTTCCTGCACTGTGTTAGTAATAAAAAGTGCAATAATGTAAAGAGGGTCCAGAGTAGTTTAGTTTGCAGAAGTAGAAAAACTGCTGACTCACAATCGTACAGCTGTATCCAAAAAAACAGCAAACATGTCTGTTTACTATTATAACTGAACAAAAAAACACAACTGCATGTGTCCTGTGAGCTACTATTGTAAATTTAGGCTCTTGCATTTTCATTACGCTTCAAAGCTTTATAAACACCAAACTGTTGATCATTCTAGCTGTTGACCTACTTCAGACACTCTCAAGATGATTCCATACCCTTTTTGAATGTGTGCTATCAGAATGGGGGGGGGCGGGGGTTTACTGTGCTATGCTAATCTTTTAGTCAAAACAAAATTTGGCAGGTCAAAAATCATGGATTATCTGTTTATGACATTCATGTGTTTAATTTTAAAAAGAAAATAACGTCCAGTATCTTACTGCTGCCCCTCTCAAATAAGCGCAGCATAGGTGAAATGTGCCACCCATTCCTTTTAACATCAGAATAAAGGTATCCGACAGCACAAATGCAACTTTCACTGACAAAACTGCCGCAAAGAAAACAGATGATGTCCTGTCTGACTTTGATCACCCATAATAGAGCTAGTGAAATCACGTATACTTGGGCACGGGCTTGCACACTTTGGTCTAATTTCGAAAGTGTCTATGACTTCACTCTTACCTGGATACCTTGTTTAAATTTATGATCGCTTGCTTTTTTTGCACAGTCAATAATTCTCCAGATATTGCTACTGTAGCTTAGGACACTGCATGCATGACCTTGCCATTTGGTACCTTACAGCCTTTTCAGACTGACAGACTACACTTAACTGGAGAACTGACATAATACACTACATTGAATCAGAACAGTCAACCATCAGGAATATCCAAGCTGTCAGAGTGTTAATTTTTTATGACAACTCAAACCAGACCTTTCAGTACAATTGTAAGCCCATGAGGAAACAAAAACCAAATGACTAGGCCATTGGACATACTGGTATATTCCTGGCACAGTGTGTCTGAGAAAAGGTAAATAAAGATGATGACCAGCACACACACTCGACTGACTTCAAGAGTGTAAAATGTCACTGAAGAATGATAGGTTACATGATATGACGGTAGAAGCATATCCTAAAAATATTGCGATAAAAGACAAAAAGTACTATAAAGCCATTTGAATATCACCAATAATAATAATAATAATAATAATTACAGCATTTATGTAGTGCTTTCCATCAAAAAGATGCCTGAAATGTTTTATACATAGTAGGATGTTTTATACATAGTAGAATTCATCTGCCCTGATCAATTTAGTGGTAAAAACAGAAGCCTGAAGTAGTACTACCACACAGCTGATAAGGTGGGAATGTTGCCTGTATCCGAATGGTGATCCAGAGTAAGTATCATAAATACCCAGACTCCTCGAAACATCAGCGCGCAATCTTAAATGGTCAAGATCTCAGTTCATACAAACGCTTGGAACTATATCTCAGTGTGACCTACCACTGCACTCCAGGCCAGACGCGAAGTTCTTGGAAACGACTTCACAAATCCAAAAACTGACAAGATAAAACATCAAAGTGACGCAGCAACTTCCCATTAAAAATGAAGATTAAAGAGCTCCTCACTAATTGCATGCCATTTGTAGCTCATGTGAATACACTGCTTTCTTAATTTGTTTAAGATCTGGACTTTGAGCATTTTAAATCAAGACTGTAACAGAAGGTTGCTGGTCAACAACATTAAGGATCAACGAGAAAGGCCTTAAAATGAATGCACTGCTAATCAATGAGTGAGCAGCAAGGCACAGCTAATGACTGGTGCACCAAAACACTTACCATTATAGAAACCTTAAACCTATTATCATGCTCTGTATTCTCTTAGTGGCCACTCTCTTCAGCCAAGCATAATCTAACCACTCATTAACCTCCCTTCTCTATTCTCCTAAATCCTTATCGAAGACATCAATCAGGTTAATGTGGACTTAACTGTTGATTCACTCAGAATACTTGGTAATAATATACACTTAGAAAACCAGACACCCCTCTGGGTCCTGACAAAGCAACATACAAGTCACCTGAAAACTACTAATCCATAAACCGATATAAAAAGACATGCAACACTGGACCTAGTCAGTACTGGCATAGGAGACTTTCAAGGAAACTCAGGTTACTGGTTGCTGTTGGTTCAGTAGGTGACGATTTTTCCTCTGAACCAGAGGTCCACATCCCCAGCAGGTGAAAGTGCTGCTCCTAGGAATAGAATTATTAACCCCCCTGTCTTAGTTAAACCCCACTGTGGGCTACATTAATTCAAATGGAGAATGTTTCTCAGTTCTCCCCTCTGATCTGCCTTGTAGGGAGGCAGTTGGCCTATGTGAGTGCTTCACTTCTGTGGTGGCTTGGCATGGGAACCCTCCTATTTGTAATGCACATTGGATTTTTTTAGGATGAAAAGCAGTATTTGAATGCAAGCAATTAGCAATTCTTACTTTGATCTTCCCCTGGATATTCAGATACAAGCCATGTGAATTGAGTGGGACAGACTCAAAATACAAAAAAAAAACAACAACAAATAAATAAAAATCTACAGTATTTAAGTGAATATAGTCCATTTAAACATAGAACTACAGTATATTACCTTGTAAGGTAAAGGGATTATAAACGCAGACAGCAATTCTCGTTATGTCAGACTGTACCCAGTTATCTTGTGAAATAAAAAACGTTTTAACTGAAAAAAAAATAGGAATGCAAACCTGAACATCTGAACCTTTTTCTTCCTAAGAACGTAAGGAATAAAAAAACATCTCTTGGACTGCAGTGCACTTGGAACTCTGAGAACCAGACTAATGAAGGACATTCTCATTACTCTCAGACTGGAGAGCAGCCTGTTCCACATTAATCCATAATGCAAAATCCCATCAAAGACTGAAACTTAGTTTATCCTCTAAGTTTCATTTTAAAAGCACCTGTGGGGCCTCCATCCCTATAAGAGAACAATAATTAACAATAGGTGAACATTAAGAGGGGTTTGAAAACACTTAAGTTGTTTTGCAACATTTACACCAGAAAACGTGCAATTTCATATTCTCTTATTATAATTATTGTATTGTTGTTTCCGGTAATGTTTATCTTTCACCACAGTTGGTAGCATGGCTGTAACTCGATTATATAATCCGCTCTCGCATTGGAGACTTCAGAAGTCCACCGGTGTTCTTCATCTCACAACGAAGGAGGAAATTCCTTGCACTGACACCATACATACCCAGGGGATAATTCATGTTCAACAGCAAGAAACACCTTACGCTTCCTTAAAAGAAATAAAGGTAACTTTTCCTTGTGGAAAAAAAGACTAATCAGGTTTAAACCTACTGTATGTTCGGAGACTAATAAATGTATCAGTAGGTGCTCGATTATTGCAATGAAATGCTCTACATTTCATTTGTAAAGCATATAATAATAACAACGTTATTTACTATTAGCTTTTCTGGAAATCTGTTTTGCATAACATGAATTTTCAATGCATTACCTCCAATGGAAAATATTCTTGACCGATTTTTCTATTTTTATTAACAAATGCACATGTATAACAGTGCTGGAATCGCAAGCGTCCATGATCTTTCTTGCCATACAAAACACTCTACATGCCTGGCATTTACATAAAAGCAGGCAGCGTTTCTTGTATGTTTTCCATTCACATAGGACTAGCAAGATTTCGAATATGTCGTTCAAGCTCATCAGGGGATTTCTAACATCATTTATAGATATTTGCGTTTTTGTATAAAGTTTCCTACTGGTGTGCACTATTAATAACCACCACCCCCCACCACCAATGTACCGCTTTACGCCTGTTTTCCACTGAGTGCCTAATGTAATATTGACACGGCTCCAGAATAGGCACATCCTTAATACTACAGTATACCACTGGAGCGCAGCTGCGATACACTATGTGCACGATCGGCAAACATTGAGAACAAATAAACTGACACGGGAATTAACGGACTTACCGAATTTTCTCTCCGCGGCGACAATAAAGGGGGAATGGAAAACTAAAAGGACGAGCAGAACGGTGTAAATCGAATCCATTATTCTTGTTGATCCATTGCACACTTTCGCTAACAATCCATTGTGCTCTTTTTTTTCTTCTTCTTCTTCTTCCAGGGATGAGAAAGGGGGGGAAAAAGACGGAGAGAGCGGAGGGAGATGGGAGGATGCCTCTCTGTGTTCAGGGAGCCCTGTGCTCAAACTCTCTCCCGCAGTCAAGCGGCTTGAAATCAGCACTGAGAACAGCACCCTGTGGCCAGGCCCCTCCTTCAAGTCCTTGACGTCAACTTAAAATACACACGCTGAAAGACCTTGGTCCATAGTACAGCCTGACAAAGTCGTGAGACGGAAAGCGTCGCTAAAAGGAAACACCTACTGGATTTTTATAAAGCGGAATTCTACGCTGGGATTTTCAGGCTCCAGGCTTCTATAATGTGGGTTTTTTTTTTTTTGCCATCGAAATTATTACGATTTCCGCGTACGTTAAATACTCTTAAATATTATTTTAGGCACTTCCTATAGCCTTTGCTTTTATTATTGTTTGTTTTGCCTATGCCACACTCTGGGTTAGGACTGGGGAGGATTTGGAGTCGGCACATCACCCTAAATGTTTGTTAGATTTAACAGGTTGGAACCAAAACATTTCTGCAATGCTAAACATTTTCATGATTAAATATGCGATTATTGAAGTTTGTCGCTTTCACTGTTTTTGTTTTTAATCGTAGCAGAAAGCAGTGCAAGAACGCATTGTGATTTGATCGGTTCGTTCATGGAGAAATATGGATCACCACTACAGAAGGAAGACATTGCTATTATTTACACGTGTTAGCATAGCAGACTTGTAATATTTGTCCTAGAATATTCTCCTGTTCCTCCTTAGTCCCTCCCCAACTGTGTGACGTTATTCTTAACACGTGTACAAAAACACGCGTGTAGTACAGCCTCTGCACATGATGCTAAATTGCCTCTTCATACCAGCCAGCCCAAAAATTGCCAATTATCCAGGAGCTTGTCCGAGTTAGTAATACGTTTCACTGCAGGAATATGTTTCCAGGAATATCATGTTAAACAAGAAGCACAGTTTACACAATACTTTCTTACATATGATAACTTTTATATTGTACAGCGAAATGTATTATTGCATTAATGAGTAGGCTGAAATTAAACATTGCTTAACAATCATAATTGCTAACCATAAACATCATCCTGCATTACAACATCACAATATAAATGCAAATGCTCATATACAGTATAGATAATAATGCAAATTTTTTAGCTATGTGAAAGCGTTAAGTCTTCGTTTTAAATGATGTAACTGGACCCTTTTCTGTAACCACTTTACAAGGGTGCACCCAGGCTGCATTGACTCAACTGTGGATGAAACACCAGCTCAACCCAAATGTCATACTCACATGCCTATGGGTGATAATTTAAAAATTCGAATTAACCTAGTCAGCATGTCTTTGGACAGTGTTAGGAAACCAGAATACAAGGGGAAAATCCACACAGAGCCAGATTCAAACCCAGCACTCAAGAGCATCACCCACTGTGCCTTTGCGGTGCTTGTAAAAAAACCGGGCAAAGAAACCAATAAACATAATAAACTTTCTTCATGGGTGTTTTGCTTAAGGCTAGGTCAAATGGCAGCCTAGTATTTTTCCTTGAAGTCTCCATTGACGTTTGGAAAAATCAAGAAAACTTTACCATTGGTCTTTGGAAATGTTTTCTTTTGTTCCAGCATGTAAAATATTTGAAGCAGAGAATTCCAGTTGACACTGAAAATCGGATGTGCAGCAGTTTCATTGTGTAGTTGATCTTTAACTGGTTTGCTCTTGTGAAAATATTTTGCTGTTTTATTAGGTGTCCCATGGTGTACAGTATATACTGTGTAGGACAGCTTTTTCCTACAGTACATGTTGTTTGTTATCCATGGACAGTTCTAGAACATTTCCCCCATGAATAAGGAGGTCTGGGTGTAATACTCAAAGTGTGAAAAATGGCAAATGGCCCTGACAATTACTGCACCTTCTTCAGAGACAATCGCACATAGACCCCTTTCCTCCTCTGTTGCTGCAAAACGGTAAGAGCCATTAAACAGCACTGATTAACAACTGCTGGTTCTAAATCAGGGAGGAGATGAAATAAAAAAAAACTATGGGCTTTCAACTGAGCTTTTAGCTGCTTGACTGAAGGCTACATTTAATTGTATTTCAAGAAACTTACGCAGTATCACAGGATCTTTGTAATTTCCAACCGTTTATGGACTACTAGAAATAACTAAAAAATGTCCATTAGTTTAACACAGAATTCTCCTACCTAATTAAGGGCTGTGTCTGAACACTAAATAGCATAGAAAACTGAAAAATGTTGGGTTCAGTCATTAATGGATCTTTAAGGACAGAAATGAACGATACTGCAATCTCAATTGAATCATCTGGTGAGACCTCAATTCTTTTTTGCTTCTTTGTATTCACTCACTTTCACATTTTCTTTCATTTTCTACTTTCCATATGCACACGTGGGCAGTTTTATGTTTCGGTGGCAGGATTTTCATTGTGAAGTGACAGGTGGTTTATGTCAATGAGAACAGAGCTGGGGGTGCAAACATCATTGTGCTCTAAAGTAACCCCACTCTTTGTCAGTTTGTATAATAGTTATTTTATGTATCTACAATATACAGTACAACTTGGAACTTCCAATGGTGTCATTTTTCCTTAATGCTCAGCTCCCTGACTAGGACCTACAGTATATATCTGTTAGGGGAATACAGAGATATGTAGGCGTGCCACACTACCATGCCTGCGAGTATAGCCATTCATCATTGGACACAGTGAGCTCCACAGTGTCTGATACCAGCTGGGGGAGTGGCACATCCTCACTGCTATCTCTACAAACATTAAAGTACCTGGCAAGTCACATGGGGAAGGCCAAAATAATCTGGGCCAGATATCCCCAGTTTACTCAGATCATACTCAGACAATCAAACGCCAACCGATGGACCATCCCATTTGCAATTAGTGAATGAAATGGCCAAATCTAGAACTCAGGTGATCTGGGCCACAGAGCTCAACTACTGCTCAGTGCAAGGTAACGATTGCCCCTATACTGCATATGGCTTTTAGTCGTACTTGCTACCACCAATAACTGCAATTTAGTATTGAAATCTATTTTGACATAAGTCAATGTTACTATAATGATATCAATAACAGGAGGTATTAGGCATTTAAGAAGTCTTGTGAAACTCTAGACATTTCTCAGGCTTACGATTTTAACCTCTGAATATTATAATTCAGGATGTACAGACTACAATTACACTGAAACTAATATGACCTATACTACACATAAGGCATAGTCTTACTGTCTCTAAAAATGTACAAATATTTCGTTTTGTGGATGTTGCTGGTTAATAATATGCCTTCTTGCATTGCACTCTCTCTCCGTTCCAGAAAGAATAGAAACTAGAGCAAATCAACTGGTCAGCTTTCTCTGCTGTTCCAGTCATTGCTATTGGAGAATGAAACAATCATGTTGAGCTGTCTGAAAGAGGTTGATGTGTTTTAATTCTGTAGCTAAACAGTCACAAGCAGAAGCAGAGAAAATGAAATGCTCCTACATATTCGACTATGCACTATATTGTATCAAATATCAGAGCCTCCTAATGTTAACTACTGTAGGTACATGTACAGTACATACAAACTAACCTCTTGCATTCCTTTCTCTTGCAATGTATGCTTTAGTCTGTAATTACCTCCCCTGTAGTGTTTGTCAGTCCACTGAACATTTTATATTTGACTTTGTCTGAGCTATGAGCAGCCAAAGAGTCCTTAGAACTCGTATGGATTTTCAAAACCACAAGAGTAAGTGTACAAGATGTCAATTGGAAATCTGAGTAGGGAAGCACATGGCAACAAACATACTATAAGTTAAAACACTCACGTAGTATTATATAACAACTAAATTACATCTCATAATTCTATTTAGTGATTGATTACACACAAAGAACAATGTTCTCCAGACGAACTGAAGTGTATCTCAACCTGGACTCAGGACTGGGGTTCTTTTTCAAAGGGTTCCTAAATTTCTGTCCAAAAAGGTAATGTCTCATAGATGTATTCAGTCTCTGTAATCCCTCAACTGTTCAAAACTATGACTAGTGAAGTATTCAATTATTTAAATAGTTAAGAACTCATTATAAGAGTAGAAACCTTGAGGCCTGAATGTGTGGGAGTTTTTTACTCCTGCTTTAGGTCAATCCCCTTATTATAGTACTGACTGAACCGGAGTCCTGCAAAGACATGAATTTAAAGTTTCACACGGATGCTTGGTGTGGATTTAATTATTACTCTAAAGGTAATAGAGGGAGCTAAGTACAGCTGAGACTTTTCTTCAAAGTTATTCCTACATTCACCAATATCTTTACATCCCCAAAGCAATAAAGACACTCATGTCTTAGTGTGATGGCAGCCTCCTTTTACTAGACAACTATGGAAGGTGTGTACCATGTACAGTATAACTAGGAATTTAACAATCATACTGTTTACCCAAAGTTGAACAAAACACACAATACACAGGTGCGCAAGAACAACACTATTGCTTTTTATGCATGTTAATGTAAGATAACGTAAGAGAACTATGTATAACCCCACAAATTACTTCTAATACATTTAGTTATTGACTAGACTTTAGCTAAAGTACATGTACAGTATATTACCTTAATTGTCTAGTAAGGAAAAGCTGGTAATGTACCTGTACAGTAGGTAGTACTGTACTCTAAAAATGACTGATATTTCAAATATACCTACTATTCTAAGCATAAGGGACATTATTCTAAAAAAACAGTATTTATCATTGTAATTGTATCATGTAATTCATTACCAAATATTGCTACAAATACAAATACTGTTCTGCATACTTACATCCAGGATTTAAGGTTACATGGGCTGCAGGAGTGCATTTCTGAGAGAGCTTTTCTAAGTGATGATGCTGTGCTAATAGAGAATCCTTTCTCTAATAGTGAAACCCAGAAATGCCTTTTTGTTTCTAGCAGGTACATCTGTGTGTTAGCAAAGCCGAATGCTTTTCTGTCACACCTGTACCGAAAGCAAAGAGGACATCATGAGAGGACACAATGGGTGTCGGACTCACATCTTCAGAAAATTGCCAGGGCATGAAAATGAAGTCTAATAGGGCTTTGCTGAAAGCATCTTCATCATTTACTGAAACAACACCAATAACTTGTGTCATTCATACTTTTTTCTCTCGGTTTGGTAGTACATAATGCAGTACTGTGTCCTAGTGAAGTAGAAAAAAAGAACAAGACAATTTTTAAAATAAAGAAAATGGCTTTTTCACATTCTTTTTCAACATGCTGTGTTTGC